TGCCCAGCCTTTGGTCTTGAGACCTCCAACTCCTGCAAGGTGACCTTGGCCGGCAGCTGATCCCCAGGGCAGATACGGGTCAAGCAGAAACATCTGCCAAAGCAACTACGGGTGCGCCTGGCAGCCGTGGTTTCTGTGGGAGAGACCAGGTCCATGTGGCTGCTATTCAGCCCCCAGCCCTCACAGCCCCACCCGGCACACCAGCCTGGCTCCCTGCTGGTGGAGGGAAACCAGCTGGCCCAAGGTCATGGGAGGGTCTGTATCCACAGCCACGTCCACTGCTCACACGCATGTGTTGTTGGGAAATGAGTGAACCCCTGGACACCCCCCCGGTGAGCCCTGACGGGGATGCACCTGTCCAATGCTGGAAATCGGCCGGATCTTGTCGTGGGCGCTCTCCCGGCAGCGCTCCAGCGCGGCAATGAACGTGAACTGCTGCTGCTGGAAGAGCTTGTCCTTCTGCTCGATGCTGCGCAGGCATTCCTTCACCTCGTTCATGTTCGTGGTCCCCCGAGCTCTGTGGGAGGGGAAGCGCAGCAGTGAGGCCTCCGCGCTGGACGGGCGGGACCCCGGGCAGAGACTCCCCGACCCTCACAGCACCCTGCGGGGACACATCCATGGGACTTCCTTCCCTCAGCTGTGCAGAGTTTAGGCCTCACTTTCCCCAGACTGTGGTTCCCTAAACACACACAGATACACATACAGACACACAGAAATACACACCCTGACAGGCACACACCTACACATATACACACACAGACACACATCTATAGACACCACACCCACAAATACACAGAAACAGTACACACACACACACAGAGCGTCCCATGCCCCCTTAGAGTGATGGCAAAAACCCTGACATCCAGGGTCATAAAAACGCCACAGGACCCAGAGGCAGCTTTTAAAGTGCTGCCACTCGGTGATCACTGGGCAGGCCAGCAGCTCCTTGTGTGTTCAGCAGGGGCAGTGGATGCATGGCTGTCCAGCTGGAGCCAGTGTCCTGCCCTGAACTGCCATGGCAGTCCGAACCTCAGGTTTGGATTCCCAAGCAGGGTGTCAGCTGGGGGCTCCCCACCTCCCCACAACCCTGGACTAGCAGCCAGAAGGCCCTGTTCATACGGGCGGTGCCAGTGGCATTCACATGTGAGCAGCACAGGGTGGAGGTTCTGTCCCCACAGCGTGGGTTCTGACGGCTACATGCACCTCACCTGCTCACAGCTAACCGGGGAACCTCAGTGGTCAGCTCTCCTTAACTGCTGGGGGGCAGGGAGGGAAGGAGGGTGGGCCCAGCTTGTGTCTGTCATATTTGCCAACAGCCACCACGAATCCAGGCTCCACCTGCCAGCCAGTGCCGCGGCAGCCAGCGTCAGAGGTCGGGGAGGACCCGGGAAGCTTGAGGCTGGGAAAAACACAGTCCTAGGTTCCTGGCAGGCCATGGGGAGGGGTGAGAACAGCATGGGGCCAGGCGTGCTTCCCTCAGCACACAGAGCCCAGGGCAGCCACAGCTGGAGCATGGACATGGCAAGGGCAGGGGGCAGCAGGGCACAACACACAGTCACGTGGCTCTCAAGGAACACCCCAAGAGGCATGCTGCTGCTCACCCCAGATCACCTGGGCCTGCTGTCAGTCTAGCAGGGCCGGCTCCCAGCAGGCAATGGGCCGACCCATGCGTGCGCCACTGTGGCTCCCCGTGACTGGGCCTGGGCTCAGGTCCCTCTCCACCCGGAGTGGGCAGCCGGGGAGGCGGGATGAAGGCTTCCAGCAGCACCTTGGGCCAGTCCCCTCCTGTGATGGGGTGCAGATGGCACAGCGGTTTTCCGCATTGTCTCCCGTGGCTCTGGCCTCCACAGAATCGAGACCAGGGAAACCCCTCACCTCCGTGCAAGGCCAAAGGACCTCAGCAATCCGGAGAGGGAGAGGAAAAACGCCAACTAGCTTGAGACTGGGCTGCTGTGTTCTGCTGACCCACAGCCTCGGGCTCAGGGGAGTATACGCCCCCGAGCCTGCCTTCGTGGGCAGAGATCTTGCTTAAGAACGAGGTGAGGACACCCCTTTCTGATTCTCATGTAGTCTTGGCACTTCCCCCACAAGCCTCGCCCGCGGCACTCTAGTTCCAGCCACAGCCTCCAAGTGACCCAGGGTTTAAGATATTGGTGGTGGGGCAGGGTAGGGGAGAGTGCCCATTGAGTGGGGTGGGAGAGCTGGGGTGGGGGAGTGTGCCCACTGAGCTCAGAGCTGTGGCTGGCAGTGGTCAGGGAAATACTGGATTTCACACATTCCTGCCTTCAGCTCCGGGTTTACCCTTGGGGGTGTGACATGAGGCAGCAGGTGTTAAGTGGTGGAGCCTAGAAGTGCAGGGGTGGGAGATGGGGAAGGGAAGGGACCGGTTCCTGTGGCCGGCACAGCACAGGCATGGTGTGCACTCTGGTCCTGAAACTAGTGAGGGTGCTTCTGGCAGCCGGGCCTCCTGGAGGGTAGGGGGATGGGAATTGGGTCTTGAAAAGGTGAGTGTTGGGAGGGGAGACTGGCCTAGAGGTTAAAGTGGATATGTGGGAGGGGCAGAGGGCAGAGGATGGGGCCAGACAGAAGGATGGCAGGCGTTGGGGCTGGGCATCTACAAGGCCTGTCAGCAGAGGGGTGCACATCTTCCCATGCTCAGACCAGTCGGAGCTGGATCCAACAGCACCAGCCTTGTCCTGGGGGCGCTTGCATGGGCTGCATGGAGGAGGAGGAGCAAACACCGCCCCCCACACACACTCTGCGGGGCGCTCACAGTGTGACCCGCCTCTTCCCACCCTGGATTCCATGTGGAAGCAAGCCGGCACGCCAAGCGCCTGAGTCACCCAACCCCCTTCGGAGAGCCCGTCCTCTTGCTGGCCCACAGCGCCTGGCCCTCTCAGCCCAGAGCAGCCCTTTCTGTGCCTGGCTCACAGCCACCCTCTTGGGGCTCCTGCGGGCTGCAGGCTTGGTGGGAGGCCCCACCCTGCGAGCAGAGCCGAGGCGCTCTTGAGCCTGAGTCGTCAACAGAGCAGCTGCAACCAGCAAGCCCCGCCCCCAGTGTCTGTGGGGCGACGAGGGGCCTGAGAAGCGCAGGTAGGGTGGGGGTGGGGCTCCCCTTAGGTTTCGGGCTTTCATTGCTTTGTATTTTTTTCCAGGCTGTTATAAAAAGTGCCTATGGCTTAAAGTAAATGAGAAAGGCAGGTCACTTCGGGAATGTCCAGGGAGCGACAGGTGCCGCACCACGTGCAGACGTGCTGCCTCCTCGGCTCCACCTGGCCCTGCCGAGGCTAGGGCTGCGGGCACTGTGGGGAAGCAGCACCGCTGGCTTTCCTGGGGTAGGGCGAGCCTCCAGGCTGCAGTGAGGTAACCACTGACTGGCCAAGGCTTCCCCCGGTCTGGCCTCAGTTTACCCAGCTGTGCAATGCGGGAGCTATGGGGTAGAGGCTCTTCAGTAGGCCTTCTGGGCTTTACAAAGCTGACAAGGCCAGGGCCCAGTGACTGACACGGCGGTTCAACAGGCTAATCCACCTCGCAGCACGGACATCCCATATGAACGCCGGTTCATATCCCGGTGCTCCACCGCCCTTCCAGCTCCCTGCTTGTGGGCTGGGAAAGCGGCAGAGGACGGCCTAAACAAAGCCTTGGAGCCTGTACCCATGTGGCGGATCCAGAGCAAGTTCTGGCTTGAAATCAGCTCAGCTCCAGCTGTTGCAGCCACTTGGGCAGTGAACCAACAGGCTGATGATCTTTCTATTTATTCTGCTCTCTGTAAATCTGCCTTTTCAATTAAAACGAATCTTAAAAAACGATCAAAAAGGCCCAGAACGGGAAAGGACTCCTGGTGCCCCACACAGCCAGCTACTCTTGCCTGGTGGGGTCTCAGTTCTTCATTTATAACTTCAGGTGAAGCCACTGCTGCAATGACTGCATGAGGCCCCCTCCCTCCATCACTGCCTCCGACCGCAGGCCCCACCGCGCAGAGCACGCCCCTGTCGGGGGACTCCAATTTGGTGCTGCCTCTGGTCACCGGGCAGTCTGCCTCCATAATGGACACTGACAGCAGCCCGGGGAGGGAGCCACATCTGCACCCTGGGGCGTGTGGGACAAGAACCCACCCTTCCCACCGGGAATGAGCCTGAGTCGCCCAGCTCCTTTCCCGACCGCGCCCCACCCCAGCCTCTCCAGGGCCAGCAGCCCTCCGCCTCCCCCCACTTTCCGGCACCCCAATCCCCGGCTTCAGGCCCAGGGCCTTCACCCTGGCTTGTCCGAAAGCGGCCTCCACCTCAGACTGCTCTGAAGCTGCGGGCGACTCCGTGGGTGTCAGGACCCCGCAGGGGCGCGGAGGCCCCCCTTCTCCGTCTGGGCTTGGGGCCCCGAGCGGGCGGGTGGGGGCCTTGGCTCGGATTGTTACCGCGGGAGCCATGGCAACCGGGCCCGTGCCCTCCGGCCCCCGTGCCCTCCGGCCCCACCCTAGGAGCTCGGGAGGCAGGAGAGGTCAGCGTGACGGGGTGGGGGACCTGGACTCGCTGTCCTCCCCGTGGGGCGTCCCGCCCGTGGCCGAGCCCACTCTCCCCGGCGTCTAGTATCACAGACGCAGAAGCTGTTGCCCAGAAGGCAGAGCCCCGGCCGGCCCACGAGGTCAGTGCCCGGCGGCAACGCTGAAGCAGGATCCGCCAGCACCCTGCGCCCCTGGGGGACCGACGGGCCCCTTCCTGGGTGCTGTCGGGGCGTCAGGGTGCGGCGAGACCCCATCCTGGAAGCTCCCCAAAGGCGCAGCGGGAGGGTCTTCCACCCGGAGACGAGGCCGGGGGACGGGAAGGAACTTGCCCAGGCCTACGGAGCGCGTCTGCTGAGGAGGTCGGGCCGAGGGCAGCAAGGGCCGCGGCGGCTGCGGCGCTCCGGCCGGCAGGGACCTGAGCGGCGGCCGGCGCGCGGTGATGGCGTGCGACGCCGCGCCCTGGCAACGCGGTTACTAGGCAGCGGCGCGCCGCGGCGGCTCCATGGACGCGACCACTTTCCCGCACCGCATCCCCCCGGAGATGCCCCAGTACGGACAGGCCAACCACATCTTCGAGCTGATGCAGGTGACACGGCTAGCGCTGTCCTCGGCCCACCTCGGGGTGCGCGTCCTGCGTCGCCAGGACCCTGAGGTGGACACCCACGGGCCTGCCCGGGTTGGCCCCGGGGAGACCCCGGAGGGAAGGAGAAGGGAAGGCGAGGAGGGCTGGATTGCTTGGCCACCGGCTGGCCTCAGCGTCTGGAGCAAAGGCCGCCACCCCCACACACCCCTTTTCCCGACGGGCCGGCCGTGAGATGAGATATTCCAAGCCTGTGGGGGTTGTGAGCCCAGTGTCCAGGTGGCTGAGCTGGGTCCCCACTGCCCAGCCGCTCCTCAGAGGCTCTGGGCTCACTGTGCCGCCTTGGGTCATGCCTGTCGGTGCCCCAGTTGTCCCTTCTACACCTCCTGAGGGTAAAGGACTAGAAGGACCACATGAAGGGGCTGAGAGCCCAGTTTCCAGAACATTCTTCTATTCTTCGGTACACCCTGCACCCCCACCTGGCGGAGGCTGGGCCAGCGTCAGCCTCTGACCTACACGCTGCGGAGCTGAGCTCAGCGCCTGTCACCCCTGACAGCGACAAGACTGTGGGCCTCGTTTTGATTACATCCATTTTTACCTGCACTCATTTCTAAAAAAGAAAGGTTTATTTTATTTTTGTTTAAAAGATAGAGTTACAGAGAAACAGGCATGGGAGAGAAAGCTCTTCCATCTGCTAGTTCACTCCCCAAACGGCTGCAATGGCTGAGGCTGAACCAATCCAAAGCCAGGAGCCAGAAGCCAGCAGCCTCTTCCGGGTCTCCCATGTGGGTGCAGGGTCCCAAGGCTTTGGGCCGTCCTCGACTGCTTTCCCAGGCCACAAGCAGGGAGCTGGATGGGAAGTGGAGCTGCCAGGATTAGAACCGATGCCCACATGAGGTGCAGGTACTGCACTTAGGCGTTTGGCCTGCATGCTGCCGTGCCGGCCCTGTTCACTCCATGTTGTGTGTATGTGTGCTCCCAGCATTCTATGGAGTCTTACCACACAAGTGTGTTCCCTGCCACATTTAGTATCTCTTGAAATCAAATGAGGACTAAGTAACTCCCTCTTGCCTCCTCCTAAGCAGGATCCTCAAAGCTGTGACCCTGGTGCTTTATCTGACGCACATTACACACGCACCCTATCATGTGATGGTGAAAAGGAAGCCTTTTCCGGATGCATTGTGCGAAATCCTGCTTGGCACCTGGAGCTAGCCCAGCAGCGCGGCTTTGGGCGGGTCGGGGGGCTGAGGCCCTGGTGAGGGGGCAGCCTCACATGATTCAGCCTCTTTGTGCTGCCACCACTCACATTCCTGCTGCCACCTGTCCCTAGGCCACCTGCCTGTCGCCTTGGCTTGGTTCCGGGCAGTCCCTCCGGTTCTGAGCCACTAGAGGCTGCCTTCCCCTGTAGGTTCGCTTCGTGGGATTGAACAGCCAGAAGCTCCTGGCCCCGTTAGCCGTATGGCTGGCAGACATACTGCCACGCTCCAGAGGGTTGTGGCAGTGGCTGTCTGTGCTGCATCCGGTGCCCTGGGGTGCCTGCGAGAAGCCCTGGCATGGCAGGGTGGGCCAGGCAGGCAGTGAGGCCCGCAGACTCCCTGGCCTGGTGGCAGTCAGGTGAACAGGGGCGAGAAGCGAGGCAAAAGGCAAAGGTGTGGCGGGGCATGGGACAGGGAGACAAAGCGTAGGTCAAAGGGTGAGTGTCTGTTCCCACTGAGGACCGAGGAGACATGAGTTGATGCTGACCGAGATGGGAGGAAAGGGACAGCGAGCTCATGTGCTGAGAGAGAGCCCAGGGGGGCTTGGGCGCTGCCTGCTTCGGCCCAGCCCACCTCCCTCCAGGGGCCTCCCCAAGAGCATACACGCTGTCCCCCACCAGCCTCTGCTCACAGGGACCCCAGCAGACAGCAGCTAGGGCGTGGCTGGTCCCCAGGCTCAAGGCAGCAGAGACAGCAGGCGCCATCACTGTTTTGGTGGCCACCAGGGTGCCCCCACAGGTGCTAACTTCCCCGAGGTCTGCCCTGTGCCCCACAGAGCATGCTGGAGCGGCTGCTGATCCACCAGCCCGAAGACCCCATCTCGTTCATGATTGAGCACCTGCAGCTTGACAACGATGATGGTGAGCATGCTGTTGCCCTCCTCCTCCTCCTCCTCCTCCTCCTCCTCTCCAGGACCTGGCTGGGCAGCACTCCAGCATACTTCTGTCTGAAGGGAAGTCAGTGGAGGCTGGTGGGGGCAGGGTGGTAGATGATCTCCACAATTGGCAGTGGGGGTTAATTGGAAAAAAAAAAAAAAAAACTTCTGTTGGAGTGCGACTGGTAAGAATTCTCTTGCCAAGTTATTAAAATGCAAACCTCAGAGTGGCCCAGCGAATCAATTATTAATGCTTTCGCCTGCCCTCACTGGTGTCGCCTGTTGGGTTTAAGCTCTCTGATCACTCTGCTTGTCAGGTGCAAATTTGGTTTCTGGTCTACCTAGACAGGCACGCACTTGGGCTTTTCCGACGGGCTCATTAATGAGACGGCCACCGTTAACGAGTTCCAGAGCTCCCCCCACCCCCCAAACCTCGGCCCCAGCGGGTTGGCTGGACCCAAGGCCAGAGCAAGGTCCGGGGAGGAGGGAGGAGGGAGGCAGGTGAGCATGGAGGACCCCTTCCTGTCCTGGCTGAGCCATGAGCGAGCAATTGTGGCTTGGGGCCTGGATGGTGGCTTTCTTGGGGCGTCTCTGGTGTTGGCAGCCAACACTCCAGGGGAAGCTACACAGTGCACAGTGCAGGGGGCAGGGATGGAGGCCCAGGATGCCCAGGGTGTGGGGCTAGAGGGCCTCCAGTGAGATGCGCTGTCGTTCACACGGGAGACAGGAGAGGGGGCTGCTCTCTGCAGGGCGCCCTGTGTGCCAGCCTGCAGGCCCCACTGGCTTCGAGCTTGGTCATGTCGCGTCCCGGCCCCTGGAGTGCCTCTTTCTCATCCCCTCCTTAGGCACAAATGGCTGACTCTGTGTGCATTCCCTGCTCAGCCGTATGCGCAGGGGAGCTGGAGCTATGACAGGGCCAGGCTAGGAGGACTGCCTTCCAGAACTGTCCAGACCCTCTGGCCGGCAGCGTCCCATTCCCCAGGCAGCACCCTTGGTTCTGCAGCCTCTCCCCTCTGAGCCACCGCTTCCTCCTCCGCAGGCTGCTGTCTCATTGTGGGGCTCCCTGTGTTGGGTCCTGCTGCTCCCAATTCACCTGCCCTGCCCCCGACAGTCCCCCAGACCCCTCCAGCCTTGCTGTGTTTGCCAGAGGAGGAACCGGCTGCGTCTCCCTTCCCGTTCCGGAGCCGCCTGGGGCTGTAGCCGTGTGCTAAGAGGGCTGCTGGCCTCAGTTCTGCCCGGCCACATCTCTCCCGTGCTCACCTCCCCGCCACCCCACCTCCAAAAACAACCAAATAAATGTAAGGAGGCAAAGCAAAACCCAACCGGAAGTGAAATGACCGCCAAGTGGAGGTGGCCCTCCTGCAGCCCCAGCCACGGTCCTGGGTGCCTTCAGCTCTGTGATCTGCCACCCTCCCACCCCCATTCAGTCATGACAAGGCAGGGAGAGAACCTCACTCGCTCTCGGACTCAGTGTCCTCATCCACAAAGTGGGCAGGTGTTGTGAAGCTCTGGCCTGGCCAGCGTGACAAGGCGAAGCGTGGACAGGTCCCTGCTGTTCTGTGGGTCTGTCCCATCCACAGCATCTGCTTGTGACAGGTGCCACGAGCTCTCCCCGAGAAGAGTGCTCAGTCATCACGCAGCTGCTTGAGCTCTGGGACGTGGTGGCACCTGTCACAAGCAGATTTCCGCGTTGGGCTGCACTGTCCTGCCTTGGGCCACATCTCCGCCCCACTCCTCCGTGGGAAGACCAGATCTTCAGGGTCCAGCTGTCTGCTGCCGAAACACCAGCTCTCTGGACCAGCCATCACCCTGGTGGTGAAGAGGCCCCTTGGGGTGCCCACATTCTGTGCCGGAAGACCCAAGTTGAATCTCAGCTCGGCTCCTGACACTGGCTTCCTGTGAACAGGCGCCCTGGGAGGCAGCACTGGTGGCTGGCGTAGCTGGGGACCCAAGGCAGGGAGTGACCCAGCACACGGGAGGGCACTCAGTCCGTCTGTGCATTTGTCTACCTTTCTCTGTCTCAACTAAACAAAAGTTTTTACATTCAAATAAATAAAAAATCTAAAACCTAAGAAAAAAACATCTGTCAGGTTTGGACATACTGAGCTGAAGCCGGCGGGACAGCCGTCCCCACAGCCGCCCCTCATGCTGGCCTCTTTGTCAGCTCCAGCTGCTGTCCTCGACATTCTTGAGGTTGTGGGGTCCCCGTAACTGCCCTGCATGGTGCCTTGCCTCTTCCGCTCGTTCCAGCGTGGTACATGAGGCCTGGAGGGCGCTGTGATGTTCCCCCTCCGTGCCCAGGCTAGCCGTCGGCCCTGCTGCGCCCCTGGAGCCGGGGCCCCTGACCCTTCGGTTCCCAGGCCCCGGGGTTAGCCGCATCTGATGGCCACCCCGCCAGCGACTGGCGTGGGCACAGACGGGGCTCCAGACGCCCCCATGGGCGTGCACGGGAGGGCGCGGGGGGAGCCGGCACATGGGCTGGCAGCCCGTTTGCCGCGAGAAAAGCAGATTTAGTACAAAGTGAGCGTTTACGGTAGCCCTGGGCAATATTAAAGCAGGCGGCGGTGTATATAATGGTATGTTTCGTTTCTTATCAAACGTTTGTCCAAGAAAGCTGTGTATTAGAGCTCCAATACCTAAGGGTTTTCTTGTGAATTCTAAATCATGCTCCTAGTTAAACCTCAAAAGGATCTGTGGATGGAAAGGTTTTTTGATTTCCTTTGAAGCGGTGGTGAGAAGTTGATTACTCCTGGCAGGCAGGCAGCTCTCTATGACTCTGTTTATAAATAATTACTCATGAGCAGGCCTGCAGTTTCAAGGTGTTAGATTTTAAGAAACCGAAATTAATCACATAAATGAGTGCGGGAAATTAGAGGCAGTGGGGAGGGGGTGGGGAGGGCCGAGGCTGCTTGCTGTTAAAATGTCTTGGTAAAAGGTGTGCAGTCTGGGGGCGCTCACCCGGGAGGGGCTGGGCCCTGGCAGCCCTCAAGCAGCTTTCCCATTGTCAAGACTGACCCAGACTTGGGAGTCGGACCCCCAGAGGCCCCTATGTGTCGGGACACCTCCTCCTGGGGCTCCACCAGCCCTGAGCCCGTCTGCGGCTGGCAGCTGTTTGGATGAACAGCCTCCGGCCGCGTCCACACCAGCGAGGCCAGCATTGTCCCAGTGTGTGGCCTGAGCCCTGGTCCCTCGACCGCCCTCCCTGCTTCCTCCCAACCCAGGCCCTCCTCGGTACCCCAGCTCCAGTCTCCCCTCATCTTTTTTTTAAATTATTTTTTAAATTTTACCATTTTTTATTATATTTTTGGCAATCTTTACATAGTTAATTAAGGTAAAAAGTTTCAAAGGCTACAGGAAAGTGGATAAGACTATTATTTCCACATTGTTTCCTTCATGTATCTGAGGAAAAGGGGGTTTTGAGAGGGAAGCCCCACCCAGTCTCATACCCACCCCAGGTCCCAGATGTGGGCATGCTCCGAGGGTCTTGCTCAAGTGGTTTTGATAGTTCAACAGTTATGAATTGCTGTCAGTCTCACCACTCCAAGCACGATGAAGTCGCTGAAGAATCCACTGGTTGACACAGTCCATCTTAGAGTCTCCATTTGCCCAGTTTTTCACTGCCAACATGTAGCTGGGGTAGTTGATTGATTTGTTCTGTCCTCTGTCTTTTCATGGTTAAGGTTCCGAGTCTCGCATTTCGATTGAGGAGATCCCTGAAGAAACTTTGTCTGATGTGTTCCCAGACCAGGTTCTTGTGTGTACTTGCAAGTACAGGGCCGGGCACAGTCCACCGCCCCGATCAGCTGGTGGTTTCAATTGCTGGGTCAATTCTGTTTCCAGCGCTGTCTTCCACTGGGACCAATGGGTGTTGCAGTTCAGCCTGATTCTGCCCAGCACATACTCGGCCCTCACATAAACCAGTGGGAGCTGCAGCCTAGTTAGAGCGACCCACAGTAACCCCCACCAGGCCTGGCCCCTATTCTGGTTTGCCAGTATGTGCAGCAGACTAGTCCAGTCTGTCCCACATCCCATTCGGCTCTTGTACATGTCAATGGGTATTAAAGCTTAGTTCCATCTAACCAGCTCCACTATCCAGCCCCCATGGATGTTATTGGGTGCCTCTTTGTCTAGCCACCCCAGCCCCTATCCTGGTTTTCGTGCCCTCTAGTGGGAGTGGTAACTCAAGAGGGAGGAGCCCACTATTTCCCTCCCATGCCTCTCCCACTCCCGGGTTATGCACTCTCCAGGTGGTTCTGCAGTTTAACTTGACAGAATTAGTCCCTAGTGCCAGCTTCTGCCAGCTGATGCTACAACTAAGCCCAAACAACCCTCACCTACCCTAATTTTGGTTTGCACCAGTAGGAACAATCAGCCCAGCCTGGCTTTTCCCTGATCTAGTCCACATGAGGCCCACAGGTGTTGTAGCCCTGCCTAGTCTGGTCTGCCCCCATCCCAGCTCACACTCTCCAGTGGGAGTAGCCATCCATCAGGGGAGCACCCCCATATTTCTTCTGCTGGCTCCACCCCCTCCCTTCCTGGTTCTCACGCGTGCTGGTTGGGCACTGTGGTCACATCCAGTATAGGTCACCTCACCTTGGCATTCTGTAATGTGCACTGGTGTTTTGTCGCGACTGAACCCAGCTTGACCCTCACTCTGTTCTGGTACTCGGATTCGCCAGTGGATGACGTGAACTGATTCAGCATGGTCTGCCCCTGACCCATGTCAAATGTATGCCAGTGGGAAACTTTCCATGGCCTATTCTGGGCTGTTTTCTTTCATGCCTCTTGCTCTTATCTGCAGGGTCTATGTCCTGCCAGAGGAGTTGCCCAGGTTCCTCTATCAGAACCACTTCCAGTGCCAGATTTTGCGCATACCAGGGGGTCTATGAGCCAGCCCTACTCAGTTCACCTCCTGCCTAGCAGGAACAGTGGGTTTTCTTGACTGGCCTTCAACCCAATCTGGTTCTTACTGTTGGATGTTTCAGCCCAGCCACAGCTTGTCCATACCCACATACAGCTCACACATGACTCAGTAGACACTGAGACCTAGCCTAGTCCGTCCCACATCTACCCTGGTCCTCCAGGAAACCAGATGGTGTTGGAGACTAGCCTGGCTTGGTGTGTCCAGTCCCAGTCCACACTTGTGCTAAGTGAGACTACAACCGTATCCTGATCAGAACGCAGCCCCCATTCCAGCCCTGTGCTCCTTGTGGGAACCTCAACCCAGCTAGGGTGTCCCCTTTACTCCCCACTTGGGCCTGTTCCCAGCCATAGATCACATGCATGCCAGTGGTTGCTCTGACTTAGCTTGGCACAGCCCCTCACCCATCCCGACCCCTGCCTTAGACACTGTGGCTTAGCATCCCTGACTCATGCAGACGAGTAGATGCAAGAGCCAGCTCAGCATGACCTGTGCTCTATCCTGATTTCTGTTCTTGCTTGTGGGCTAAGGTTTGCTCAGTCCTGCCCACTCCACCACGTTCCATTACCAATCCACACAGTTGCCAGCCATTGGAGCTACTTTGCCCAGCTTGTCTGACCCCCAGGTCTGGACCATGTGTTCATCAGTGCGAGCTATGACCTGCCAGGGGAGTTTCCCAAGTTCCTCCACTTGACCCACTCCCGGACCCAGTTCTCATACATGCCATTGGGTTTTAGGCCAGTGTCTAGCATACTCTGGCCTTCCAATTGGCCTTGTATGAGCTGGTGAACGTTGCAGCCCGGCCCACCCCACACCCTATTCAGGATGCACATTTTGGTGCTGCTGCCTTGACCAGTCCAGACTGTTGTGGGTTCCTTTACCTGTGAGTGATGGCAGGCTCCTTGGTCACACCTAGTTTAGTTCATCACCCCTTCAACTCTTGAGCTAATCAGTACGGCTAGTATTTCCATGAGGTTTGGCCCACACATCCCCCACAAAATCTACCCCCCAGATATGGTTCTCTCATGTGCTACTTAATGTCATGGCCCTGTCTAATATGACCCGTTTCCTGATCCATCATCATGTCAGGTAACAGGATATGGTCCTGATAGACAAGCCTTGAGTCTTAGCCTTGCCTGGACTGGTTTTCGGTAGTCATCATTGTTCAGTGATTGCAAGTACTACACAGGATTTAAAGGAGTTTGGTATATCTGTCTTATCCATAAAGATCATCTGGTCCCTCTCCTCCAACCTACTAGGTCTCATTACCCTCCCTTACCTTCAAAGGAAAAGTCACTCTGTCACTGGGAGTCTTTAGGATTGACTGACATCCCAGAAGTACAGTGGGCTTGACATGGAGATGCCTGAGCAGCAGTTTAGAGCCCCCAAATCCCAGAACTGGCCACCAGGTGGCCAGCAGGTGGAGCCTGTAGCCGAATGGCGTACTGGCCGCCCAGGGACAGGTCACCACATGGATGTGGTGGCTGGAAACAGGGCTCCGAGTATGGAGACAATCCTGGCCTGGCACCCACCAGCAGTCAACAGGCTGCTGGAAGTTTAAATCCCCAGGTCCCAAGTTTGTCCCCTCCCCAGTCCCATCCCCTGTGCCATGATGGCAGTGGGTGAGGCCCAGTCTCCCCTCATCTTCTCACCTAAGTGCCCCCAACGCCACCTGGTTTCCAGATTCATTGTGTGTAAGTCACACTGCCTGTCTGTGGTGGCCTTTGCCACTCAAGGGGAGGCCCTGGCAGGCCTCGCTCTCGATTCCAGATCTGTGCTGAATTCCTGCCCCAGTTCCACTTGGAAGCTGCAAGATGCCATCTGCACTTCTGTGACGGTCAGGGCCGGAGCTGGCCACCACTGGGGTGAACATCTCCAAGGGGTGGAGGGCGGGATTGGGCTGAGTGCTGGCAAGGACATTCCTGAGACTGTGGAATGACAGATCAAAGGGAGGGGACCCAGGCCTTACCAGCAAGACCAAGCCCCAGAGAGCCATGACACATCCGGGTCTCGGGTGGAAGTCCTGCGGGCACACAGAGATCTTTGGCCAAAAGAATACTGGGAGCCATGTCCGCTGTAACGGCCTGGGCAGGAAGTGCTCCATCCCAAGCCTGACTTTGAGGGAAAAGTGACCTCAGTCTTACCCTGGCAGGAACCCAGGCTGCCACCTTGCCTAGCGTGTGTCTGTCTTGCTGCCCTGGGTTGGCATCTCCACCCACAGGAAGGGCTGTGCACAGAGACGTGGTCTACAGCGGGGGGCCTTCAGGAGCACCTCGTCAGGGACCCGGAAGAACCAGAGAAGCAGCAGAAAGCCACGCTGCCTGCGTCCCGGCCTTCAGCTCCATCCCCTCACCCGGAGGGTGCTGCCCTCCAGACAAGAGGCCACACCCCTCGTTCTTCCCTCTCAGGGTCCTGGCAGGAATGAAGGGGAACTGTGGAGGCTCCAGGGAGGGGGAGGGAGTGTGTGCTCGTTGGCGCCTCTGCTCAGGACTGTGGGCAGGACGGGAGAGTGACGGGTTGGGATGGGATTCCTGGGGGTCCACCAGACGCCTCGTTTGGATTGCTAAGCCCTCCCCGATAGTCTGGCAGCTGCTATAGGAATTTTGCAGGGTCCAGAACATTCCAGAACTGGGACCCTAACTTGGAAACAAACGGCCAGGTTGTGCTTTCTGTTTTCTTTTCCATTAACACAGAAATGCCATGTTTGAATACAGAGACCGCTGTCTTGGGTTTTATAAATCTGGCCCACGCACCACAGGCTTTTCCCCATTCTTTGCTCTATAAAGTGATGAGGAATACAATTTGCTCAGTAATAATAATAGTAATAAAGCATAAGTAGAAGAAGAGCTTTGAAGGCCGATTTCCATAAAATACAGCTTTATTTGAGAGAGTCCCCGAGACAGAGTTCCCTGTTCAGAATGCTTTATGATGTCTGAAGCCCCACCCGTCCTCACTATTTATTAGTTTGGCAAACGAGTTGCCGTGTCTGTGTCCCCCGCCGAAGGAGAAAAACAAACCATCTCGGTGATTCCTCACCTCTCTGAACACGGGAAATCGTGCCTGAGCCCGGAGTTACAAACGGCCGTGCCACCGGCGGAAATGAAGTCGGGGAGGCGGGAGGCTGCTCCGTCATGCCAAGCGGTGACATCGAGTCTCTCTCTTCCACAGTGCCCAAGATTGTGATATTAGGCCCGCCCGCCTCGGGGAAGACCACCATCGTAAGTGTACCAGGCTAAGCACCGCGGGAACTGGAGGGCTGGGATGACAGGGACCCTGGAGCACCTCCTCTTCCTCACCGCCTCCTCTTGTCACCTTCTCGTTACACAAGACATCGTGGAAAACTCTAGAAAGTACAAAAGTAAAGCAACACGCACGACTCCCCAGCCCCGCTGAGACAAAGGTCGCTTAAAGCTTTTGGACTAGACTTGCTGGAGTTGTTGCGAGCCCTGCCTGTACCCTGTCCCTCCCTCACCCGTAAGGTCTGTGCAGTGTCTGAGGGGCGGTCCTTGTCCAGGGACTTGGGGTACGGAGCTTTAGTGGTTCCTTAACGTTTTTGGTAGGAACCATCCCAGCCAGCACCGGGGCTGTTCATGTGCCTGGCCCCCGGGATGCGCACACGTGTGTCAGTCACTGCATCTGCTCTGTTGCTCCTCTGTCGACATGAAAGGCGGAGCAGATGGGCCGCTGGCCCTCCTGACCTCACCCAGCCCCAAGGAGGCCGCTGTCGGGGGGCTGGTGTCACCCCTTAACCATGGCTTCAGGGTCTTGGGGGCATTAAGGGCCAGAGTCATGTTCGAATGTCTAACACCTACGACGGAACTTTCTAGTGAGCATCAGTGTGGCCCTTCCCTGACGAGGAACTCACTGTCACTGACCACTGCCTTTGCTGCCAACAGGCGGGGAGGTGCCTGACCTTCGGGCCGGGTGGCCTGCACCTGTTGTATTTTGAAAGCAGCCACTCAGCTTGCTGGCCGTCCCTCCCTCTGTCCTGTCCTCCTGTCCGTCTGCCTTATCTGTCTTTTTTTTTTTTTTGATTGGTCAGTGCCAGGCTGGTGGCTTGCACTCCAAACCCTCCCTCTGGGCTTCCCAGACCTGCCAATTAGTTGCATCTTTGGAGGTTCCTGGGCTTCCCTAGGGTGGGCCTTGTCACAGTCTCCCTTCACAGGCTCCCTGCCCCAGTGAGCCACGAGCCCCTCCCCCTGCAGTTCTAAGGGCTGTCATTGGCCAGCTGAGTGTTGGGTTGTTGTTGGGGACTGGGACGGCACAGTCTAGAGACGCTGCCTTGGGACAGACAGTGGACTTGTTCACTGGACTGTGTGTGTGCAGGAAGCATCTAGTGGCACAGCATTCGTTCTGGGTGGGGTTTGGCCCTCTAGGCCCATCACTCCCAGTTACAGCCGCTCTCTGAGTGCCGGAGGGCCTGGCTGGTGAAGCAGGTTCAGGGAGCAGAGGCTCTCTTTAAAGTCCCAGGGTAGCCGAGGCAGCGCGGGTGTGCCCGTTGAGAAGGTCAGGCCCTGGCCGCTGCACGCCTTGGGATGAGGTCAGTCCCTTCACCCCAGAGCCCCCAGAGTCACCTGGCCCACAGTGTGACAGACAGTGACAAGGGTGCGGTCGATGATGCTTCCCAGCAGGAGGGACCAAGAGAGCTGAGGTTCTCACCAGTCGGCCAGGGGGCAGGAAAGCCTTTGGACTCGTCCCGTTGCTGACCTGGTCATGACATGGCTTTGCTCTCACGGCTTATCTTAGTATGTTGCTTATCCTTCAAGTCATTCCTCCCTGAAAGACTACAGTCTGCAATGGCCAGAGCTGAGCCGATCCGAAGCCAGGAGCCAGGAGCTTCTTCCAGGTCTCCCACATGGGTGTAGGGTCCTAAGGCTTTGGGCTGTCCTCTACTGCTTTCCCAGGCCACAGAGAGGGAGGTGGATAGAAAGTGGAGCAGCTGGGACATGAACTGGTACCCACATGGGAATCCAGAGCTTGCAAGGTGAGGATTTAGCCAATGGAGCAATTGGGCCAGGCCCCCACGTCCTCTGTTGTAAAACAGCCTGGAGCCTGCACACTTACAGAGGGGGCACAAGTTTGGTCTACTGGCCAAGGTGCCATTAGCGTCACCCACTGTCCCACTTGAGCGTCTCCCGATCTGGGCTTGTTGCTGCCGTGCGCCGCATTGGATGGCAGGTGGCTGAGGGAGTTGGGTTCCTGCCACGCATGCATGTGGGTTAAGTCCCAGGTCCTGACTTGCCCTTGGCCTAGGCCTGGCTGGAACTGGCCGTCTGGGGTGAAGCAGCACATTGGAGCTCTCTGCCTCTGTCCATCTGCCTGTCTCTCTCTGCCTCGCTGTCTCTCAAGTGAATACACAGATTAAAAACAAAAATCTAAAAAGTCCCCCCGTGTTCCACATAGCCTCAGGCCTCCTCGCCCTCGTGGGGCCCTCTGGCTCCGGGCGGAGTGTGTGGAGGTGGAGCAGCCACGGTGTATGCGTGGGATTCCCAGGCGGGGGCTGCCTCCATGGTTGGTCCTCCTTGTGGGCCCTGCTGCCCTAGCCACCTTTCCTGGGAGGATGAGGCGTTGGAAGGTTTCCGTCCCCTAAGCTTTCTTCCCCTGCCTGCCTGTCTTCTCCAGGCCATGTGGCTCTGCAAACATCTGAACTGCAACCTGCTCAATGTGGAGAACTTGATGGGAAGAGAACTTTCCCAGTTGGCCTCAGAAGCCAGAAAGTACTACCGCAGATTCCGGGTAAGACTGGCCCCCTGGGGACAGGGCTGGGGACAGAGTGGCCCAGCTGCTGGACTGCCAGGTTCCCTTTGCCCATTCTCCTCTCCACCCCACCACTCACCTGTCTACTTCCCGCTTTCCACTGGACTAAACCAAAAAGAGGGCTGGGGAAGCAGGAAGTACTTGCAGCCCATGCTGGCAAGAACGGGACTGTTGGGTCCCAAGGTGGGGTTTTCCTTGACAGAATGAGAAGCGGGTGGGGAATGGGGCTGGGGTGGTACGCGTCCCATAGAGGACAGGCTGGCGCCCACCAGCCAGCCGTCTCCAGGGCAGAAGTCTCTGTGTGGTACTCCTTGGCGGAGTGAGTGGTGGTACTCTGTGTGGTACTCCTTGGCGGGGTGAGTACTTCCACCCATGGCTTAGTACCCGCTCCTTCCCTCTCACATCAGGGCGTGGCGATGGTCATCCCAAAGAGGACTGGGTTTGCTATTTCTAAAATGCCACCAGCTCCGCACCTGTTTGAGGAAACACAGGGCTTGGTCATCTTGCTTCTGTCCATCAGAAGTGCAAAATCGTTCCCCAGAGTTCTCCTCGGGGCATGAGCCCAGTGCCCTCTCATGCATTCTTCCTGTGACCCAGGAGTCGTGTCCACTGTGAGGCGGACAGCCCAGGACAGTCAGAATGTCATGTTTGGGGAGCAATCAGTGCGTGCCCACCCACCACCCTGATCTCAGAACTTCTCTGCCTGTAGCCAGAGACCCAGTTTAGGCCTCCGGATATGCTGGGCACGGCCACCTTTGGGTCGCTCGGCCCTTCCCTCACTGGAAACCCCAAAAGGGGAACTGGCGATTCCTGACAGCTGGATGGAGGAAGTGCCAGCTCCCAGGCCTGGCAGCCGGGAAGTGGACTGCTGCCTCAGGGTGCATGGGCGCTGGCCTGCCGTCCCTCTGCAGCTTCCTTCTCCCCCTCCTTTCCCCTCCATTCATGTAGACCAGCCTCTGGGTCCCTCTCAGGAAGGGGTCAGGTGGCCCAGCTCCAGGCAGGGGAGTGTGTGGCAAGGGCTCACTCAGAGGAGACTTGGAGCAGGGTTGTGGCTGGGAGGGCCCCCAGTAGGGAGGGCAGTTCTCAGAGATGAGGGTGTGGCTTAGGCGTACCCCAGTCCCAGGTTTTCTCATAGAACAGTAGGTCCGTACCATTTTGAGTGACAGCTTCGAGCCGGGGTGGGGGTGGATGTCTTCAGCTTTGGGGGCAGGAAAACCACTTGAGGGAGACAGTGGTTCCCAGCGTAGGGGAAGAAGGCCCGTTTATCTGCTAAAGACACTTTCATTCAGTTCCTAAAACTCAGCAGGGAGAGGGAAGTTGAAGGCCACGCCTCCTGCGTTCCTTGCACTGATTAGCAATATGTTTCAGGCTGCCAGGAAGTGCTTGTTGGGTGGAAGGGGAGGGGAGATGAAAGGCAAGGACGCTGGGCCTGATCAGGAAGAGCCACGTGGTGGGAGTGGTGGGGCAGGGGCAGGGAGGGGCTGGAGCGGGCGTGTCCTGGGCTCAGCCCGTGGTGTGTGCCACCTTGTCCACGGAAGGCAACCCTCTGGGCAGCCAATCATGACATGCCATCCTTCAGTTGTCTGCCTGTCTGGAGTCTTCACAGCTGTTTATACAGGTAGCGAGAATGCTTCCAAATGCCCCCAAATTTCTCCTGCTAATCTTGGCTCTGCTCCATTGCAGGGAGTAACCCTGCATGCTGGTGATAACCAAGATGGTTGCCACCTCGGACCTTCCCACAGGGTTTCTGAAAGCCCTATGCTGTATTTGTCCGTGTTCTTGTTGCCTAGCTGGGTAGATTATAGAGGGATGTGGTCCAAGGCAGAGGGCTTGGTCTGGCTATGGCCTTCTTGCCAGGATGGGCCAGGTGGTGCCAGAAGCCTGGACGTCCATCCAAGTGTCTCACATGGGGGCAGGGACCCCAGTACTTGGGTCATCTTCTGTCTCCTTCCCACACACATTAATAGAGAACTAGGTTATAAATGGAGCAGGTAGGACTCAGGCCAGTACTCGTATGGGACGCTGGCACAGCAGCACCTGGTGGCCTCGCCCAGCCTGTCCAGGGAGCTTCCTGGGCTCCACATGGTGGTCTTGCCAAGCCCGTCCTGTCTCCCTTGTTTGATTAAAGTTCTGCTCTCTCAGTGCTTCCCGGTGAAGATTAAGTTCAACACGTGGGCCTTGGAAACACACTGGGGCCACATCTAAACCACGGACCCTGCTGTGGGCCAAGCACTGTTCAGTGCTGTGCACAGACCAGGCACAAATGCCTTCTGCTCGCCAGAGAGACTGACAGTAGCCAAAGGCGAGCAGGGCAAGGTGCCTTTCCCGATTGGTGATGGGTTCTCGTAGATGGATTCTGAGTGTGCTCCTGGACGCCAGTCCTAGGCCAGAGCCCTCCTGCTGCCTCACCAGGAAGCTTCCCTGCTGAGTCTGCACACACAGGCATGGTGATCCGCTCCCCGGCCTCGGCTTGCATGGCTGCTCTTCATTTGTTCCTGTATTTTTAAAAAGTTATTCATTTATTTGAAAGACAGATTCACAGAGAGAGTCTGCTTCCATCCTCTGGTTAGTAGTCCCAGATGGCTGCAGCGGTCAGAGCTTAGCCAACCCGAAGCCAGAAGCCCAGGACTTCCACATTTCCCACATGGGGTAGGGGTCCAAGCACTTGGGCCTTCCTCTGCTGCTTTCCCAGGCACATTAGCAGGGAGCTAGATGGGAAGTGGAGCCCCTGGGACTCAAACCAGTGCCCATGTGGGAAGCCATCGTCATAGGCCCTGGCCTGAGCTGCTAAACCAGAGTGCCTGGGAAGGATTCCTTTCTATAACACACGCACCATCACACGTTGAGAGCCCAGCCATGAGCCTGCCAGTACCTGACCAAGGGTTAAAAGTCTGCTGGAGGCTACAGCCCCGCAGCGGCCCACGCAGCCTCTCCGCTGCAGTGTTGTCCCCTTAGCCTTGCTTCACATTCACCCGGCTCTGTGCCAGTGGCCCCTGTTCTTGCCCCCGCCTCTTGCTGGGCAGCTCCAGCCCAGGTTTGTTTAGATGTTGACCCCACAGCTCTTCCTGGGGGGAGTCGGGGACCAAAGGACCTGGAGAAGGCCAGCCAAGGGCAAGTTACAAGACTTGCCATCGTCACTCCAGACACTGTGGAAGGGACATGGCTTCCCATGGTACTGTGCCTGCCTGTCCTGCATGCCGCGGAGGCTGCAGCACCACCTCCATGAGCCGCTCCGCACGTGCTCAGGGCCACCTCTGCTCTCTGTTCCTCTTCCCTGCATTAACGCAATTCACGTCTTTTGATTTTCTCTGGCCGTGTCTCTCAGCCCACCACCTGACACATCATCATGGATTCCACCAGAGGGTTCAGGTGTGGTGGGTCCTGAGGGAGGGGGACAAGCCTGGAACTGGGGAGACCACAGTTTCAGGAGGTCCCACAGTCAGGTACTCACCCTCACAAAAACCCGAGCAACTTTACTGCTTCACTCCCCGAGTGACTGGAAACCGTGTGGTCGCCAGCACTTTGAGTCACTGGGAACAAGCTGAGATAAATGTCCCTGCCTGGGCCTACTAGCCTCATTAGCCCGAGTGTCCCAGGCCAGGAGGGTGGAGAACTTGCATTGATTTATTTACTTTTGAAAGGCAGAGAGACACAGTAAATCAAGGACATTGGTCCCCCATCCACTGGGTCACCCCCCGGCCCGCCCATGCCTGCAGCAGCCGGGGCTGACCTGTGCCCGGCCAGGAGCGCCAGCCGTGCGTCCTAGCCAGATGGTTGAGTCATGACTCACGGCCTCTCGGTGTGCACTTGAACAGGAAGCTGGAAGCAGAATTAAGCTAGGTGTCTTAGCCTCGGCTCCAAGAGCCTGCCCCCAGGCGCCCACGTTTTAGAATGCTTCTCCGGGCAGGCTGGGAGCACCCCAACACACACACCACTCACACGCCACACCTCAGTGCAAAGTCCCACTGTCTGCAGGCGAGCCAGCACGTTAGCCAGAAGCCTGTGCTTTTTGAGTGAATAAACGGGAGAGCAGGGTTCCCCCAACTTCCGCTGTGGCCTGGCGTCTACAAGAACTGTAGCTGCCCAGAGTCGCTGTTTGTTTTAACATCCAAGTAAAAGAACTAGAGCCTTCATCTGGCCTCAGTCTACCCCACAAGACCCGTGGTCCCGTCCCGCCAACCTGAGCATCTCCGGAAAGGAGCTCAGGTGCACCTGTTTCCAAGTCCAGCCGAAGTCTCCATTTCCTCTGGCCCTGCGGCCTCCAGCCAGGCTTGGGAGCTGAGCTGAGGCTGACCACAAGGCCCTCAGGCCCTTCTGTCCGCTGCCCCGTCCACCGCAGGTGCATGTGTGGAATTTCACTGGAGGCTGAGGAGGGACAGCGCAGCTGCGCTGAGGATCTGCCTCCCTGGCTTCCGGCAAAGCTCCTTGGCCTCTCCTGGCCATTCCAGGGTCTCTCTGGCTGCCACACTGTAGGGTCTGCCCTCTTCCCTCAGAGCCTCTTCTGTCCCCTCCGTCCTCTTGCCCTGGTCCCCAGAATCACCCATGTCCCTGCGGGAGACAGTCTCCCCGCATCTCCTGAGCGTCCTGCCAGCTCCAAGCAGGAGCGGCCCCAGCAGCACTGAAGTGAGACTCTTGTGTGAAAGGTTTTCCTGTCAGTTCCTACGCAGCACAAGCCCGAGTCCTGGCCCCCCTTGCCGCAGCAGGAGCCCCTCCTCACTCTGCTCCCACAAGCATGGTTTCTCAAGCTGACTTGAGAGCTCTAAGGGTCCCTGAGAGGGGGCATCTGGTGGTAACGGGCGGCAGGGCTCACGTCGTCCCGGTGGGGGGAAGTTAAGTGACAGTTTGGGATAGGAAGGGGCAGAGCCACGGTTGGACACTCAAGGCACCTCTGTGCGCTGGTCAGCAGGTTCCTCTAGGGAGGGACAGACTGGCAGCTCAGCCCGGAAGGTGCCTAAGCCCACCCTGGGAGCCAGGGAGGG